TTATTCATGCAACTTCAAAACTTGATAAGAATTATTTTGATCACCGTTAAAATGCCAATCACATCAAACAATCAGCAAAAATTCCTGTGAAAGCTAACACTTTGAATTTAAAAAGCTGAAACATCCATTAAAAAATCTTAGAATTTGAAGAAAGAAGCCTTTTTTAATTAACCTGGATATTCAACCAGTTATGCAAACCGACTAATCCTAAGGCGACCACCCGCTTAGCAGGGCAGCCTGGAGTCACCCCATTTGAACCTCTATGGCCACATGGGGATTTTTATTCCTCATTGGATTCGAACCTGAGAACTCCAGGCTGTTTTTTTGATCTTTGCTGAAATCAATAGACACCACCCTTATGGTTGAAAGAATAGAAGGTTAAAACCTTTTAAAATCAAAATGCACTCTTTTCGTGAATAGATATAGTAATCTTTTGCTAGTAATGTAGTATCCATATAGATATTATTATCTACTCCAGACATCAGTGAAATTAACATCAAATCGCTGATAGAATAAACAAGAAGAAACTCCTCTCCTGATCGTATGGTCGTTTTCTTATCTTAATCTAACACTCTCTTAATCCATCAATATCCAATGGATTCATTCATAATAACGGTTCATAATCATTTGGAAAGTAGTAAATCATCCACAAGGAGAAATTCCAATCCGCTGCTTCCACCATTGCAAAGTTGGTAGAAATTTGATACAATTTATGCCTGGATGATGGAAAACTAGCGCTTGAGAGATACTTACCTTTGAATCTGTGAAGAAACTACGAGGCGGATGCCCTTTGGTTGATTCGATTGTCGATCGTGCGATGAACCCAAACCCACATATGCCTATCAACGCTTCAGCGGGCGTTTGAAAAAAACCCTCCACAACCACAAGTACGATTTCTCTTCCGATTGATAGTTTTTGAGTGAACTACGAATTTGGTCTTAATGTTTGTTGAGGATCATGGAGAAGATGAAACTTGGAGCCAAAGATTGTCTCTGAATATTGAACTCTCGATCGAATTCCAAACAAGGAGAAAATAAAGCAATATATATACAAAAAAGTTGTACCAAAAGACAAAAAGATCCCTAAACTATTGGGAAAAGTCAAAACAGATCCCTGAACTATTTAATAATGTCTCTTATATATGTCATGTTTCATAAACTTTTAATCTTTACATCTTATTTTAGTTGAGCAAAAATAAGGTGGTGTTTGACTTATATATCTTTTATTGAAATTTCACCACACCACAAGTTTCTATTTAAGTACTTAAACAATCATTTGTTGAGCTTGCATATTATATGTTTAATTCATTATTCTTGAATCTTAATAGATCATTTTTTCTTCCATATTTTTATAGATCCTCGTTTGTCTATTTATCTAGAAAACCTTGATAATATTCTTTGTTATTGATCTCTCATTTGACCCTCATGGTTACTTCATTCACACAATTTTTTTTTATTTATCAAAATAACACATATTTCTTGTTATGAACTAAAAAAAATCTTTTTTTTAAAAAAACTTATCAACCACAGTTTTTATACTCTTGGTTTTAAATTACCTGATAAGATGTACGTAAATTTAAGCACTCTCTTATATATCTATAATAAAGATAAATAAGATTTCTTTCCTCAATATTTTTTTAGCATTTCTTGTACTCAATTTTATACAAAATGAAAAACATTTATTGAATTCTTTTTATAATTATCGAGGGTCACTACAAGAAAAGTGAGTTTTGACGATGCGCCTTTTAACGATGACATGTTTCCACCACAAGTTGCTGCGACGACATGTTGTTATATACTCTTTCTAATAATAAATGAACTTTTAGCAACGACTTTTTGCTTCTCGTAGTGGGCCCTGTTTTTATGTTCGTCTGGGGCCTATAAAATGTCAGGAACGAGCCTGGAAGAAGGTTGAGTAGCACCCATATCAGCGAGAAGCCATCATAGCAAAATTAACTCTTGAGCAGTAGCCAAGGCATGATATTCAGATTCAATGCTAGATACGGATGTCAAGGATTGTACCTTGTTGGGCCAAGAAATGAGGGAATCGCCAAGAAATAAGCAAAAACCAGTAGTAAAGCAACGGCCAGCCAAGTCACTATTCCAATCAGCATCTGAGTAACCTTTGAGAATCAAAGAGGAATTGGCAAAGAAGAATAACCCATGGAACATGGTACCTTTTAGGTAAAGGATACGAAGAGCGACTCCATAATGATCTGACCAAGGAGCAACCGTGAATTGACTCAAAACATGAAAAGCATAGGCAATATATGTTCGTGTCACGGTAAGGCAGACTAACGCATTATCACATTAAGATGCCAAGGACTGCCCAAAACTATGTAGTTGCCAAAATAGCTGAACAAGTAATGACTGAATGATTAAATGTCTAAATATTGCAGACAACATGTCATATATATCAAAAGCAAGAATTTTGCATATCTTTCTTGAAGAAAACTAAATGATAAGCCATGTAAATATTTGGTTTGTTTGTGTTGTCAGCCAAATAATCATCCTCCCTTCTCGTTCAGCTCTGCATATTAATTCAACAAATGAAATTATCAGCTTAATTACTTGGATGATAATGAATAGTATTTGCTTTTCATACATGATAATTCTTAATGCAAACGAAGCCAACTGAATACAGAACATGGCACCATTCTTGCATCAATCAGTGCTAATTAAGAGCTTAGTCTTATCAACAATTAAAGCTTATAGGGGGGCTTTAAGAAAAACCCTAAACCCACATTTGCTTACCGGGGGAGTTTAAGAAAAACCCTCCACAAATCATCATAAATCATATATATCTAGATTATATTATAAATCATTTAACAAAAACTCTTAAAAACTATCTTTTATGCTTGAAGTACTGTTTATTGATGTATATTACTTAAAAATCAAGAATGCAAGTAAATTTTGCGTAAATACAACTTATTAAAGCTTAAGTCATTGAATATATTTTTTATAATAAATAAACTAACGAACTTTTAAAATTTGGTTAGCTACACCCTTTTAACAAAAACAACTACCTGTAACCAACTATAAAGGTATTAAAGTAAAAAAGAAACTTAAATCAGTTTTACTGTTTCCAAACTCGACTTTTTTCAAACCCCTTACAAACAACGGTATCACTCTCCCTCGTCAATCTGTGTCGCCCCATTGTTATATCTTCTTCACATCGGCTATCACACCTATGGTCATGCTATTGTTCTCTTTCTTTTTGATCTATTTTTTAGGAGTTACAAGTAGTTTTACTTTGATACGTTTTTAGTCCATTACATGTAGTTTTTTGGGTTAAAATGATGTAAGTAAACAATTTTTGAAAATTCGATGGTTTATTTTATTGGAAAAAAATGTCCAAGAACTTAATCATTAAAAATAAGAAATTTTAATGGTTTTTCATTAAAAAAAATAGTTTAAGAACTTAATCATTAAAAATAAAATAGTTTGGATTTCTAAACTTTTTCTGATAAATTAAAAAACTAAAAAAAATCCTTTTGAAATCATATTTAAAAATAATACATAAGAGTTATTAGGTTATGACAAAATATAAACAAATTAAGTATCGTCTAAATATTTTGTTAGGGACTCAAAAGTCATATCTTTTTATGCATCTTATTATATACAAGAAGGAAACTTGCGCAATATAACGAGATACATCTCGATTTTAATGTTTCGTTTTATTTTGTCTCCTGTTAATGTTATAATACGGTTTTATGTGGTTTTGAGAAAAACGATAATGTTTTTATTTTTGAATAAAATATAAATTTAAAGATATCTTAAAATTAAAAAAAAAACATATCGATATTAGTATCAAATTATCTATTTAAAAGTTTTTGTTTTGTTGTGTAATTTCTTTAATTCAATTTTTTTTATTATAATTTAATTTAGGTTTAAGAAGAAAATAATTTATTTTTGGTTTAATAATATAATTTTTTATAAAGATAATATAATTAGGTATTCTATTAAAAGATAATGATTATCCTAATTATATTTTAGAATTTTTATATTTAAAATAAAATGTTTATCCAGTATTTAATTATGTTTATCTGTAGTTAGTTACACAAATTCAAGTATGAAGCTTTAATAAGTTGTATTTATACATTATTTACTTGTAATCTTGAATTTTAAGTAAAATGTATCAATAAACAGTACCTTATGTACAATGAATGGTTTTTAAAAGTTCTTTTCAAATGTTTTATAATATAACTAGATGGGTACTCGCACAATGCAGCGAAATTCATCTTGATTTTTAATTTTTCGTTTTATATTTTGGGTATATCAATGTTATAATGCGATTTTATGTGGTTTTGAGAAAAAGAAATTGTTTTTATTTTTGAATGAAAAATAAATTTGAAGATATTATAAATTTTTGATAAAAATAAGCGATATTAATATCAAATTAACTATTTAAAAGTTTTTTTTTGTGTAATTTCTTTAATTCAATTTTTTATTATGATTTAATTGAATTTTAAAACCGAACTAATTTATTTTTGGTTTAATAAAATAATTTATTTAAGATAATAATTAAACATTCTGTTAGAACTCAATAATTATTCTAATTATATTTTAGATATTTTATAATTAAAATAAGATGTTTATCTGCAGTTAGTTACACAAATTCAAACATGAAGCTTTAATAAGTTGTACTTATGCATAATTTACTTGTAATCTTGAATTTTAAGTAATATGCATCAATAAACAATACTTCATGCATAAAAAATAATTTTTAAGAGTTTTTGTCAAATGTTTTATAATATAGTATAGATATAGATACATTCACCCTTCAACAATTTCCAACTTAAAATACAACTTTGTAAATAGATAAATACCAAAAATTAAGAAATAATTTCCAAAACAACTTCAAACTTATTTTTTTTTAATTTATTAGAAAATGCAATAATATTAATATATATATATATATATATATATATTAAACCCTGCCAATCAATTATCGATCTTAAACCTCTCTTTTTTTTTTGTTAATTATCTGTGTGTAAAAATATGTCTGAGTTAACATGCAACAAACAACTCATTGATGAAAGCCATCAGAACACGCATTACGACTCTGAATGGCACCGCTACAACCTCAAACGCAAGGTAAATTACTCCATCGATCATCTTCGTCTTCATTAATTTCTGTATCTTAATCACTAACAGATTCAATTTCTACTTCTTTTTTGGTTAACCTAATTCTTACCAAATCCCTGCTTGATTGATTTGAATTTGACTCCAAAGGTCAAAAGTATCATAAGGTCCCAGATTCAAATCCAATGAGTAATAAAAATCCTCTTGTAGCCACAGAGGTTCAAACACGGTAACTCTAGACTATCTGCAAAGCAAATGGTCGCTCCATGTTAATAAAAAAAAAATCATAATTAATGGGTTGTTATGATTCAGATGGCAGGGGTTTCAGGAGTCACAGAAGCACTCTTTTTAGCGACACAGTCAGACGAGGAAACTAAGGACAAGCCAGATCCGACTTGTTGTTTTATGTGTGACAAAAAGCATAAAACTATTGAAAACTGTATGGTTCATATGCACAAACATCATGGTTTCTTCGTACCTGATATTGACTATCTCAAAGATCCAATTGGCCTTCTTACCCATCTTGGACTTCAGGTAACATGATCCCTCCATGTACATCATAAGAGATCATCTGAATTGATTCAGTCACGACATTTGTTGGGCTTTTTTACAGGTTAAACATGATTACAAATGTTTGTATTGCAAACATATTTGCCGTCCATTCGATAGTCTTGAAGCCGTTAGGAATCATATGGTGGCAAAAAGTCATTGCAAAGTGCATTATGGTGATGCATTTGATGAAGAGGAAGAAGCTGAATTAGAGGAGTTCTATGATTATAGCAGCAGGTATGTTTATGTTTATGTTTATGTATATGTATCAACATCTCCATTCTGCACACCACAATTTCTTTTCATTTCAGAAATTCTAGTTCTAATGAAATTTGAAACTATAACAAAATCGGGTTTATAGGACACTCCCAAATTCTAAGCGTCCTAATAGACCTCTTTATAGGACTTAGTTTATAGGACCAAAAAAATAAAGTATCATATTTAATGGTGTTGTATTAAGTTTATAGGACGTTTTTTTGATGTCGTAATAAGTTTTTTAGGACATTTTTAATATAAAGCGTCTCATTATCAACTTTATAGGATACTATTTGAAAAAATGTCCTATAAAAACAAGTGTCCTATAAAAAATTGAGTTTATAAGACAATATCTCAAAAATGTCCTATAAAATTGTTAATACGACACTTTGTATTAAAAATGTTCTTAAAAACTTGTTAAGACTCCCAAAAGCGTCATATAAACTTGTTAAGACTCCCAAAAGCGTCATATAAACTTATTGCAAATCCTTTTGATAGGATGTTTTATATTTTGGTCATATAAATTAAGTCCAATAAAGCGGTCTATTGGGATACTTAGAGATTGATGATGTCCTATAAACCCAATTTTATTGTAGTGTGAGCAGGGATTTATCGTATGCAAGTGCACATTACCTACTTCTCTACTAACGATCGGTTGATATGATCTTTGTTTTATATATGATTCTAGTTATGTAGATGAAAACGGGAAGCAACTCGTTATTGGTGATGGGACGGGCGATAGGATAGAACTCGGAACCGGTGGATCAGAACTCATGATAACTAGACCAACAGGTGATAGAATATCAACCAAAATAATCGGTTCAAGGGAATATTTGCGTTATTATCGTCAAAAACCACGCCCTTCTCCAAACACAATTCCCGCTACCGCTATGCTGGCTTCCAGGTCAGCCTCGACATCCCACAATTTTTGTTTACGCTGTACGTTTTGGGGTCAAATGAACTATTTTCCGTGTGGGATATAAGTTTTGGGGTCAAATGAATTATTTTCCGTGTGGGATATAAGTTTTGGGGTCAAATGAAGTATGTGTGAGATGTACTGAGTTGGTTTGATCTGGTTTATGTATGATATAAAACATCAGGCATAGGAGCGTGTGTATGTCAACGGTGCAGGCTAAAGAGAAGATGGTGACGAAGAAGTTGATGAATACGAGGTCAAGGGTAGAGACGACACGAACCAAGATAGGCATGAAAAACAATGTCATCCGCAACTTTCCAAAGAGCGTTTCATATTTGAAACGTTAATCTAGCTCTAAGCTGATCAAGTTTGTTTAACAAAGTATTTTGTTTTTGGCAGATATTTAAATTCTTAAATACTATTTCAATGTTTTTTTGTCATATTATCTTTTAACATGAGATAAACAATTCGTACTTGTTTTTGCTGTTCAACACATCATCGCTTTGGTTGCAGCGATATATTTCTATTTCCATTTTCTCTTGTTTAAGAGTATGAAATATTTTTTTTTCTTTGTTTTATTTCCATTTCAAAAATACAAATAAAAAGTCTTTTTTTTTTATTAACCTAGATATCCAACCCGCTATGCGAGCCGACTAATCCCAGGACAACCACCTGTTTTGCAGATAGCCCGAAGTCACCGCATTTGAACCTCCGTGGCCACAAGGGGATTTTTATTTCTTCTTGGATTTGAACCTGAGACCTCYTAGTACTTTTAACCTTTGGAGTCATACTCAAACCAATCCGAGACCATTTCTTTTCTTGGTTTCCCTTCTTTCTTTTTTCTTTTTTCTTTTTTCTTTTTCTACCTGTAGGGTTGCTTATGGACAACACAACCATGCCCCCTCAAAAGATGGATCCCTTACAATTGGATGGAAGTAAATATGCCAAGAGAATAAAAAGGAAAATGGATGAAACTGAGAGACCAAGGCCAAAGGGGGCAAAACCAATCAAGAAAAGTAAGATTTCAAGAAACCCATTACTGAAAGAAAGCAAGAATGAAAGTGGAAAATGGGAATGGCAAATGAAAGCTTCCATCTTGCAGTGTGCTTATGATTCCAGGTCTTTGGCCAAGTTGCAGGTTCAGAGGAAATCATCGCAATTTCATCTGATTGGGCGAATAATACGCATAAAGATCCGTTGGGTTTTCATGTTTACGGAGGGAAGAATGAACAACAAAGTAATAGGAGTTGCGATTGATAAGGATAAAGGAAGCCAAAGTGCATTAAAATGGACTGCTGATAATCTTCTAGGCAAGGGCCAGATTGTGTATTTGCTTCATGTCAAGATTAAACACTCCGTTCCCTTTTCTTCATCTGTTTCTTTCGCACAAAGTAATCTCTCTCTCTCTCTCTCTATCTCTCTCTCTCTCTCTCTATATATATATATATGTATGTATGTATATAATGTTTGTTAATGGTGTGCAGAACCTAATAAGATGTCTGATCTCCATCCAGATGACTCGCTTATGATAGATGCTGATTCACAGCTCAGAGAACTGTTCCTCCCTTTTCGATGTTTTTGTACCAGAAAGGAAGTTAGTCTCCTTCCTATACGTTTACATTCAGCCAAACGACACATTTACATTTCAAGAACATCAACTTTTGCTTAATGAAACAGATAAAATCCCACGAAGTGGTCCTAGAAGACACAGACGTTGTTAAAGCGCTCGTAGAGTTCGTCACACGATCGATCATAGAGGTTCTAGTTATCGGAGCTCCTGCTAAAGGAGGTCTTCTCAAGTATGTGCTTTTGTCCATAAATATTACTTTCATTCATGTAACACCTTTATATATAGGACGCACAATTACGTCCATAAACTTGTTAGGATGCCCAAATACGTCCTAGCATCATATGTAACACCTTTATATAGGATGCACAATCGTTTGGTCCTATAAACGTAAGTCCTATATTATCTCATGGTTGTTGCAGGAGATTCAAAACAAAACATATTCCCGGAAGTATATTGAAAGGGATGCCAAATTTCTGCACGGTTTACGTCATTTCTAAAGGAAGGATTTTAGCCACAAAAGCTTCGTCACGTCCTCCGCCGTACATCTCTCCGCTTCGTACCCATTCGTCTCCCAGATCAAGTAACAGATCGTCCAATGCTTCATCCGAAAATGTGCTACCGATTGGTGCCAAAGGTTTTTCTTTCTACTCTTCATTTTCGTTTCGACTTATCTCGCTCACACTTTTGCACAAGCCTGGGGTCTTCACAGAAATAGCTCGCTCTACCTTTTGGGGTAGAGGAGAAGGTTTGCATACATCTTACCCCCTAGACCCTACTTTCAAGTGGGATATATTGTGCTCGTTTGGTTTATTATTTTCAACAAAATGGTTTTATAGGGCGCTATATTATGTCTAAGTGTCTTAATAGATTGCTTAATAAAACTATAAGTTTATAGGATCAAACAATTGTGCGCCGGTGCACCCTATATACATGTATTACAATAAGTTGATAGCAATTTTGGGAGTTCTAACAAGTTCTTAAGGCCAGTTTTGAAATAAAGCATTTTGTTAGTCTTTTTACATGACATTATTTGAAAAAGTGTTTTGTAAAAACAAGTGTTCTGTAAAAAAATGTGTTCTATAGGACACTTCTATAAAAAAGTACTAGACATTTCGAAAGAAACTTGTTATGATGCCCAAATGTGTCCTGATATCCTATTGTAAAACCTTTATAGGAGTACTGTTTGGTCCTATAAACTTACGTCTTGTATAGCAATCTAAGAGAACATTTAGACATCTTTGGCATCCTACAAAGCCGAATTTGTTATATTGTTTGCATTTCAACCTATGGTTGTATATACGTTAAACGTGATATCAATGGCTTTTTTATCAGCACTTCCATGGAGACCCGCCAATGACTCGGGTTTTACTAGGCAGTTCCCGTACTCACCTTACAATAGTTGGTCCAACGACTCGAGCATAATGAAGTATGTGATTTCAACTATTCTTTAGCATTTCATAATTGAAGTTGTTTTTTGGTTTTTATGCTCATGTTCATGTTATGATTGTGTGCATGTTATGCACTTGTGCATACCGGACAAATTGCTTACAAATTACTTGTATACGCATGTGCATACCGTCCAGATGAATCTTTACGAGGGTGTTCCTCAATTCTTCATTTTTTTGCGATTTTCCCCTAAACCTGACCCTCATGATATATATATATATATATATATATATACACACACACACACACACACACACACTATATTATGGAACATTTGACAAAAATTCTTAAAAACCACTTCTTATGCATAAAGTATTGTTTATTAATGCATTTTACTTAAAACGCAAGATTGCAAGTAGATTGTGCGTAAGTATAACTTATTAAAGTTACAAATCTGAATTCGTGTAACTAACTGCAGATAAACATAATCAAATATAAGATAAACATCTCATTTAAATATAAAAAATCTAAAATATAATTAGGATAATCATTGAGTTCTAACAAAATACTTAATTATTATCTGTATAAAATGTTATATTATTAAACCAAAAATAAATTATTTTGTTATCAAACTTAAAT